TAAAATATTGTGCCAACCTCCAAGAATCAGGGACTTTAGGGTGTTTAAAGTGATAAAACACACTTCTTGTGTTAGTGGCACAATTTGAGTGTTCAACAAATTCTTGCTTCATCTTTTATAATAACATTTTGAAACATAGGCCAAAGAAGAAGAAGGGTAATGATAAGGAAAGGAGCAAGGAGAGGACTAATCTAACACAAAAGTGTACTATTCCTGTACGTATTTTATAGTGTAATCAATAGTAGGTGATACAAATTATGATATATGAAATGGAATGTTCTATAGTAGGGAGCGTGGACAATCTCAACATTCAACTCTTGAAAAGTATGGATAAATTTTGCAAATGTTTCATTGAACACATTTTAAATATATAAGGTGAGCCTTAAAATGTGTTATATCCTACTCTCTATAAAAGTAACAAAACAGGAATTATCATTTACTAAGTATTATCTTAGGCAGAGGCTATTATTCTGATTTCACAAAATATACAAATACTAACTCAAAATATATCAACAAACTAAACAGAAAAAATAAAAGTCTTAGAAGAAATCATAATGATCAAACCTTATGACCTTAAATTTTGCACTGAATTTTTAGAGATGATACCAAAAGCATGTAGAACAGAGAAAAAAGGAATTGATCAGATGCCTTCAAACTTCAAGAAATTTTTGCATAAAAAGACTTTTTATGTGAAAAGTAAGACTATCTCCCAAATGTGAGAAAATATTTGGAAATCATATATCTGATAAAATTACTAACCACAATATGAAAACATCTTAAAATCAACAACAAAAAGACCAAAACAAAAAAATGAACAAAAGACTTGAATAGATATTACCCAAAAAAGAACTTTAAAAGCAAAGTGAAGAAGAATATGAATATATGCCAAGCATCATTGGCCACCAGGGAGGTACAATTCAAAAACCAAAGGAGACATTGATCCACAAACCACTAGGATAGTGGACAAACAGAAATTTGAATTCATAGATATTTCTGGTCAAATGCAAAATGGCACAACCGCTTTAGAAAATATTTTGGTGTTTCCTCGAAAAATTAGATAGAATTATATGACCCAGAAATTTTACTTCTCTTAAAACCCTCATATTTGAAACAGATACGCATAGAGCATGCTAAAGTATACACATTTTCATAGACTCACTATCCGTAATATGTGTGAAAAATCCAAATTTGCCCATTAGTGTATAAAAATATAAGGGTTCATACATAGAATTAGATATTATTTAATTACAAAAACTAATAAAATACTGACACATGCTACAAAATAGGTGAACTTGGGTATTAAGTAAAAGAAGGCAGATTAAAGGCTACATGTGGTGATTTTATTTATATGAATTTTCCAAAATATAGAAATTCATATATAGACATATCATATTATAAGTTATCCCTGTAGAGTAGTAGAGAATGGGAATAATAGCAGGGTTCAGGATATTCTTTAAGCAGGATTGAGATGTTTCGGGAGTTTGGGGGTGTAGCTTGATAGTAGAGTACATGCTCGGCACTTATTACACGAATTACACAGTTTAATTTATTTTGTAGTATGTGAATTTTAGTGTAATAAAAATCATGATATATTTATTCAAAAGTGTGTTTCTGGAAATGCATTCCATAGAAATATGAAATTAAAGGAAAAGAGTTATTCTTAAAATATTTTAAAATCATGGACAATTTTGAAACAGCTAAAGTTGAGGCACTAACGTTCAACAACAGGAAAGTTACTGAAATCCAAACACTGAGTTTTTTGTTTGGGCCTATGTGCCTTAGAAAAAAGATAAAGAATGAATTAGTACAAGCCACTTCACTAGCCTGCAGCTATTCTCCCCTTATGGAAAGAGCCTGGATCAGTTTCTAAATCCTTCTGATCCTGCACTTTCCAGCTTTTCTGGGCCTAGCTTTACTCCTTTCTGAAATCAGGATAATAGCCTCTGCCCAAGATAATGCTTAGTAAATGATAATTCCTGCTTCTTTACTTTTATACTTGGGAAGAAATAAAAATAATGCATCAAAATAATTGGTTTTAATGGATGTGTTTGGGTGACTGGATTTTGTATGACTGGTTTGAGCCTTTTTTTTAAAAAAAAATTAAGTTTTGAGTTTCAGTTTAGGAGATTTTCTTCACTTATAGATTCTATAAATTAGAAGTTTTTATTTTGAATTATTGCAGATTTACAGACAATTGTAAGAAATAAAACTGAGACATGCCATGTATCCTTGACCCAGCTTTCCTCAATAATAACAACTTGTACAACTAAACTGTAAGATTACAAATAGGATGGTGACATTTCTACTGTCAAGATAAAGTGTATCTATCTCCAGCTCATGCTGCTCCTTAATATAAAAAGTCACTCCCACCTCTCTTAAAACTATTAATCTGTTCTTCACGTGTACATTTTCCATTTCAAGAAGTGTTACATAAGTGGAATTATATACTCCATCAGATATGGGGAGTTTGTTTTTCAACTCAGTTTAATCCTAGAGATTCATCCAGGTCTTTGAGTTATATCAAAAGCTTCTTTGTGGGCTGGGGTTGTGGCTCAGTGGTAGAGCACTTGCCTAGAATAGGCAAGGCACTGGGTTTGATCCTCAGCACCACATAAAAATAAATAAATAAAATGAAGGTATTGTGTCCAACTACAATTAAAAAAATAAAAACCTTCTATTTTTTTTTTTTAATCTCTGAGCTGAATGCTATTGTGTGACTCCACTGGTTTATTTAACCATCTCACTCACTGAAGAACATCTTGATTATTTTAAGTTTTGGCTATTGACAAAAAAATAAAAAACCTATAAATATTGGAGTATAGGTTTCAATGTAAACATAGATTTCTTTTTTTTTTTTTTTCGGATAAATGCCCTGGAGTGAATCTGCTGTGTTGGAGGGTAGTTACATGTTTGTTGTTTAAAGAAACTTCTAAAAAAACAATTCAGAACCCTGGTATCACATTATGTATTCCCAGCAGCAATGTTGGAATGATCCAGCCTCTCGGCATGCTTTCCATCATTTAGTGCTATTACTATATTTTTAAAATTTTAGCCATTATTATAGTTATGTAAGGATATTCTTTTGTGATTTTAACTTGCTTTCACTCAATGATAATGATGCTGAAATATTTTCATGTGCTTATTTGCCATCTGTGTAGCCTCTCCAGTGAAATGTCTTTTTATGTCTGGGTCCACTTTCTGATTGCATAGCTGTTTTGTTCTTGCTTTTAAGTGTTCAATTGTGAGAATGCTTTATATATGAACATTAGTCCTTTGTCAAATATGTGAAATGCAAATATTTTCTCCTAGAGGGTAGCTTTTATTTTCATCCTCACAGAGAGGTCTTTCACAGAGAAATTGTTTTTCCTTTGATCAACTATGCTTTTGCTGTATGATTCAACTACTTCCTTAGCCTTACACCCCAGTCTTTTTTCCTAGGTTTCCTTTCCTAAGGATTTGATAGATTTACATTTACTTTTTAAACATATTTAATTTTTAGTTTTAGGTGGACACAGTATATTTATTTTACTTTTATGTGGTGCTGAGGATTGAACCCAGTGCCTCATGCATGTTAGGCAAGCATTCTACCACTGAGCCATAACACCAGCCCCAATAGATTTACACTTAAAATTTCAACTCATGATTTATTTTGAGTTTGTGTAAGGTGCAAGGCTGAGGTCAATGTATTTTTGTTTTTGTTTTTTTTTTCCCCTATATATATTCAATTATTCCCACATCCTTTTGTTGGCAAGATCATCTTTCATCTACTGAATTGTTTTTGCACCTTTGCCAAAAATCACTTAGACACATTTATGAGGAACTGTTTCTGAATTCCATATTGTTTTTCATTGATCTATGTTTCTATCTAGCAGCTAGATCTAGTCTTGATTATTACAACTAAATCTGATTTTTACAGTTCACTCTCAGTTCAATATGGCAATATTTTAAATTTAAAAAATTCAGACAATGTTATTTTTGAAACTATTTAGAATACTTTAATAGCTTTATATCATATGATTTGCAATATCTGCAATTAAAGATAACATAGAACAGAAGTTACAAAAAAGGACATGATATATAATAGGTAAAAAGGCCTTTGATTAGAATCCCTCATCTTTTTCAGCACAAATTAATTATTATAAATAAAAAATATAAACTCCTTTAAAATATATAGCAAATGTATATTCCAAAGGAATAAAACCATCAAATATCAGGTCTTTCATGCTGTGAAATTTCATGTATTCAAAGGCTCTCAAAGCATTATATGAGGCTGCATGCCTTAAGTCCATAAATTTTTATTGTCCATCTTAAGCTCATAAAACTTCCTTGAATGATTTCCAATCATTTATTCTTTACAGAAACTAATCTGCTGAATTGTGTTTCCAACATTCACTTTGCTTTTTAACTGTGCGAATTATATCTACGTACAAAATACTCAACAACCATACATGCTGCTCTAATTGTGCTCTAGAGCTGACATGGAATAATGAAACACTAATTGCAATTAGACCATTTTATTTGTTTAGAATTAATTTCTTGGCTTAGCTCACTTGCAGAATGTTCTACATCCACAAAGCTTACATGCAAATACCACCAAACAATTCAGTGACCACAATCTAAAACAATGTTTCCACCAGTCTGTTTCCAATGTACACACTACAGCTCTGGACAGAATTAGTAAGAAAGTCCCTATCTATACAGATGTGAAAAACTCTATTATATACAGCAAGGCTTAACCCTAACATTTCAAAAGCTCTCATTTGTTGGATTTGCCAAACTCTAACACATTCAGTACAGGTACCCGAAAGCTCAGTCCAGTCAATTGTTAGCCAGAAAGGGCATTATCTACAACTATATCTTTTGCAAAGGGGCCATCAATATCCACCTGAAATTACTGGATATGCCAAATTTTGTCTAGGGGAGTAGATGGCTACACATAAATGTGAATGGTCACCTGAATGTATGGCAAAGAAAAATGTTGTCAAACATAATTCTTTTACCTGTTTGACATCATATGCCAGAAGGACGTATTTTAAATCTGGTGAAACTGAATGCCTTGATGCTTTGAAGGTTACCTGGAAAAAAACAAAAGGAACAATTATCTTTAAAAATTGAATTACAGAGAAATTAACATGTATTTGGATACATATCAAAGTTATCTCAACTCATAATACTATTAAAATGTGTATTATTAGTCTTATTATGTACATAAATGTGTATTAATTTATGTATGATTATATAGATGAATGAAAACCATTGATGAGAATATATTCATTTACACAAAAGCATTTGTCAATATATCTTTCCATTTGCTATGCTTAAAGAGTAGTCTAACATTTTTATAAGTAAGAAAACTTAGTAAAGTTTCACTAAAATTACTTTTGTTCCAATCTAATTACTTTTAATCATATAATATACATACATATAATCTAGGAAGAAATTATTTTTTTTTGTTCTGTAAAGAGCTACATATAATGTTCTAAGAGTCACCTTGGATCTTAGGTCTAAAGTTTGCCATTTTTTTAACTATTTCTTCTATTTATAGATAGGTGTTTTTGTCTATGTCTAGAAGGTTCTGTAACTTTATATACAAGACAAAGTAAGATCAAGAATACTGAGGAGTTGGACTGAAACATCTGATTGCTTAAAATTGTTTCATGCACAATTCTCTCTTATTGAAATAAAGCCAAGCAAACACACACAAATACACACACACCACCACCACCACCACACTCCATAGAGCTCTCCATACAGCTTTTCTTGGAGCCCAGAAAGAGATGCAAAATATGTTTAGAACACATGGTGGCAGGAAGAGAGAGATGGGATTTTGGCAGTGTTTGTCTGCCACCACCATAATTATTCCCATTTTACAAATGAGAAATCTAATGCTTAGATAAGTTCACAGGCTCAACACAGCAATCCACGCATGCTTGAAAAAAATCTAGAATACCATTTTTTAAAAAAAAGTACTGGATTTGTGTCTAATAGCAGGGATGGTACTATTATTTTAATTAATTAGTAAATTTGATAAATCATTACTATACTATTTCATACCTTCATCTACTCAATCATTCAAGAACTAATTATTGAGCATCTTTTAGAGACTAGATCAGGCTGTGTACTGGGGATGCCCCAGTGAATGAGAGAGAAATTATCTCAGTTTTCATGGAGTCCAATACAGATATTGGGAAGTAATTACACGAATAATTACTGAGTTACACCTTTAGATGCATGATTCAAGGAAGAAATCTGGAGCGTTGCCAGAGTATATGAATCTGGGAGAATACACAAGGCTCTCCTGAAGAACTGACCTTTAAGCTAAAGGAGATGACCTTCAAGAGGAGTATGAACACATATCTGGCCCTTAAATGTTCCTCGTCTTCCTACCCAGACCTAAAGAGCTGTCACTCAGAAATTTATTTTTTCACTCAGGAAAATGTATCATCTACCTACAGATACTTTTTAAACAAAACTCAGACAAAACTCAATTGTTTCTATATCTTGTTTAAGACATTAGCGCGCTCTCTCTCTCTCTCTCTCTCTCTCTCTCTCTCTCTCTCTCTCTCTCTCTCTTTTTCTTTCAATCCAATACCTTCTCTTAGCAAAAGTTTTTCAGCCACTTCCCTGCTTTCAGGCATGGCAAATAAATATCCTCATTGCTCTTAGGATTTAGTAAAGAAGTTTCTGTTCTTCCTGTGCTAGCTCCTATGGAACAGACTGGATTAGTTCCCCTCATTCATAGCATCTATGTATTTATTTTTATTCTCTTCAATGTGGCGTATTGAAACCATTGAAATTGTTAAATAACCAAAATGATTTTATACTTCCATATTGGGTTAATCAAAAGAAAAAAAGATATATTTACATCTGTGTCATAATATCTGAGCCTGTACTTTTTTGTTCTAACTAGTTGACTATTTATATTTAAAGAAGACACACTAAAGACAGACACTCTTTAAAGAAAACTCCCAGGATAAAACATATTAAAACAGAAATATGTATCTGATTGTGTTTGATGTCAGACAACAACAACTACAAACCCTGTACCTGACTGGTTTTCAGGCTACAATTTAATAATAGAACATACCCGGTGACAGCAGGAATTTAAAATATACAGTGAAAGAGAAATATATTGAAGGTCTTGATTTTTTTTTAAACAGAGGCATTTGTGCAAGGTGTATCTAGAGAAGGCAAGAAAATTGAGTTGATAGATCAACAAAAGTCTACAAAATACAAACAAAAACTAAAAGTGTATTTTAAATGAATGATAGTTTGCATGTATTTGCAAAGATATAGCTATAGATGTAAATATATATCTCTATCCATCTATCTCTAACTATATATAAACATATATTATATATAACATATTATGTATAATATATATTATATCTATAACTATATATCTATAAATATAAATATATATATAAAATTCGGTACAGCTTATTTCAGGATAGTTTCCACAAGGCTGCTGTCTATCAAAAACAGAAAGGGGTAAATTCAGGGTTTCTAGTTTTGTACTTTTTTTGTTTTGTTTTTGTTTCTGGTTTTGTATTTGTTTTTTGTTTTGTTTTGTTTCTAACTTAGGGACTCCAAAATGCAATAGGTAGGATAAGAAACTCAGACTAATATTTACACAACTTGTTAGTATAATAAGTGTCTTTCATCCTTGTCCCTGCTTCCTGGCATAAAATCTAAAAATACTTGGAATATCCTGATTTATAAAAAGACTTCATTATTCAGAGCAAAGGTTTTTCAACCATACATGAGGTTATGATAACAAGACGTGGGAGAACTCTTCACAATTGGTGGAACTACCTTATATTTTCATGATGGGGCTGGTCACCAGGTCACATCAACTTTATCCTTACAGTGGGAGAACTCTCAAACCCTCCCCATGTCCTTGTAGCCAGTGATTTAAAGACTAGTTGTGCCTAATAATGACAACTTGATTTAAAACAAACAAACAAACTATACACTGAGGTTTGAAGGAGCTTCCTGGAGGATGAACATATCAATTTATTGGGAGGGTAATATTGATTACAACGAGGTACATCCTGACTCAGGATCCCTCTGGACATTATCCTGTGTACCTCTTCAAATGGTTATTCATTTGCATCCTTTATAATAAACTAGTGATCATAATTACAGTTCTTTCCTGAACCCTGTGAACCACTGTGAAGAATTATCCAACCACAAGAGCTGTAGTGGGAGTTCCCCAATTTAGAGTCAACTGAGACAGAGGGTGAGTAACCTCAGGGTCTAGAATTTGCAGCTGGCTTCTGAAGTTGGTGCGTTTTGTGGGATTAAGCCTTTTAGTCTGTGGAGTCAGGTAGTTAGGGTCAGAATTATATTAGATTTCAGGACATCGATTTGGTGTTCTCAAAGAACAAAATTACTACAATTTAATTTAAAATATTAATTGGCTTCATTATCAGTTCTAGGATTATGTAACACTTCACACTGTATTCCATAATGTAGAGTAAGATTTCCATATGGTGAGCAGGAGAGGTTGCTTTCCTAAAATAGAGAATGAATTTTAAAATGCAGAAACAAATATCAACAACAAAAAATAAATCCTATTTGGTCATTTCAAAGTTATTTTCCTTATTGAGCAGGCAGAAAGAGAAAGAACAACAGAAAAATAAGTGAATAGATAACATTAGTTTATTTTATGTTGCCTTTTTGTGTGTAAGGACAAAGACAGAACTTCATTATTGTGCCAATTGACCTGGCTTGTTCCACAGATTTGACTCTCTCTCAATTTTCCTGGTTACTTGGAACTTTGGCAAGAATGACACCATTTTGATTTGTTAGTCTGTTTTTCTGGAGTCAAGTACAGAAGGCTTGTCCAAAACAATAGCCTCCTGTAATTGTTATTTAATATTATCAGGGAATTGCTGTTAGAATGACATAGTTTATAATCCCTGAACCAGCTATGCAAAGAAAACCCAGTGGTCAGGGACACCTCACAGAATAAAAATGCTAAGATTCAGAAGTTTTGCCTACCTATACAATTTGTACAATCTCTATTTGAGTCATTTTAGAATAAGTCTAACTGACCACAGGGAATAATTAATTTACATTAATTATTTTGCTTCTTTAAAAATATCCATTTCAACAAAAAAGAATACAAGAACATTAGCAGCTACCATGTATTAGATATTTGTCACGTGACCTGCAACTTGCTAAGAACTGGGCTTGGGGTAATAGGGTGAGATAGGTATCGTCATTTCCTTCTCTATCACTCTCTCTCTCTTTCACCCCCTCCATCCCTCTCATTAACTGCTTATATATTTAAATTTTATGACATTTTCCAGTAAATGAATGGATCTGGAGACTATCATGCTAAGTGAAATAAAACCCCAAAACCAGAGGTTGAATGTTTTTGCTGATATATGGATGCTAACCCACAATAAAAGGGAAAGGGGGAAGAATAGATATTCAGTAGATTAGACAAAGGGGAATTAAGGGGACACAGAGGGGAAGGTAAAAGGAAACACAGTGGAATGAATCTTACATAACTTTTCTATATACACATATTAATACACCACAGTCAATCTCACCATCGGGTACATCTACAAGAATGCTTGTATAATCATATCAAAATGGATTCTAGTGTCATGTATAACTAAAAAGAACTAATAAAAAATTAGATGAAAATTAGTCTATAGGGAATGTCGGTTAACATTGTAGACACAAGTCCATCTCTCCTGATATTACAATAGCAGGAGGAATATTGTTCTTTAAGAGTTGACTAAGGGGATAGTATCATTTAAAAATCACTAAGTACAATTTTATTACTTCTGTTCTATGGATATTGAAAACTCCAATGTCATACTTGTTAATTTTTTCTCAAGGTCACAGAAAAGCAAATATAACAAGAGACTATAGGAAGACTTCCTTTTATAAGCTTTGCATTATCTCAACAGCATTTTCTTACTTTCTTTCCTTTCTTTCTTTCTTTCTTTTTCTTTCGTTTTTTTTTTTTTTTTTTTTTTGTAGAGCACTTTCTTCTCTGAAGTCTGAATTATTTAAAGGATATTTCACCTCCCTTGTCCCCATCCACCCTCATGTG